AGACCTTTTGGAAAAGGTGGTAATTAAGCGGTTGCGTCTCTGGGTATTTGAGTTACGGTGCTACCTGCCTGGTGGTAAACAGTAAAACACAAGTGGCTGCTCCTGACTACTCTTCTGTCATTCTTTCAGGCAAAGAGTATGTGGGAATTGTTCGGCTGCACAATGCTATTGAAAGCGAGACTCAACTTGCCAGGGTAAGTCTCTGTGCCATGAACCAAAACATACACTGAATACTTGATGCAGCAAGCAGCTTATGTAGGAGACGCTGAGGAGGAGCTGGTGGAGAACAGTCTTTTAACATTGTGATATAGAGAACATCTTGTTCTCACAAGACTCCAGTTTTAATAACACAGATTTTTCTTAAGAGTTAACATTAAAGGCAATTTGTTGCTTGCAGCATAGTCATCGGTAGTCATTGTGGTCTCCATACTTCAGAGCTGCTTTGTCTTTTAAGCTCTATCCATCCTTTCTAGCAAAGGGGCGTTCTCTTTGTTCATTTCTTCCTACTGCCCTGAGTGCCGAGCCACGTATGGTATGTGAAGTGATGATGAAGTTTATCCATTCTCTGAGTGCCGCTGCACTGCTCCCCTGCAACACCCATGTCCCTGTTCTAGGGGCTGTGTGCTGTGCAGCCTCCAGATTCCCTGCAGCCTCTCAGTGTTCTACTGTGGGCTGTTGGCGTGTCTGGATGGCTGCCTGCAGGAGTGAAGCAGAGCCAGCAGAGCTGGAGCCTTTCTCCATAGGGGGCTTCATCTCAACCAAGATGAGGGATGCTGTCTGATCACATACTGCTGCCTGGCAAAACATCCCAGTATGCCTCTTATCAGTCCCATCAGCGACTGAAATGGTGGTTGTTATCAAGCGTGGTAGGTATCTAACCAAATGGGCTTGATTAATGAAATATGAGCAGACCACCTGAAGCCTGCAGTTCTCTCGATATGCAAGTGACCTAATTGTCTCAAGTGTTTGCATCTTAAATGTTACTAACTCTAAATGTGAATTACGCAACATTGAAGGCTGTCCATTCTTCTGCTTCTCCCCCTAGGCAATAGAAACTCTGACAGGTGCACTGTTTCAGCGTCCTCCCCTCATTGCTGCTGTAAAGAGGCAGCTGAGAGTCCGAACCATCTATGAAAGCAAACTAGTGGAATATGACCCTGAGAAGAGATTAGGTAAAGTCAAGCTCTCTCTTTCATATCTTTTTCTGAGCAAGCTACTTAAGGGGGCCTGCTTTTCTTCTTTTGAATGAGACTGGTGTGCAGCTGTTTGAAGTCCTCTTCTGAAATCCAAGTCTTGTGAGATAACATCCTAATTTGAAATGGAGGTAGGTGTTAAGGCTAGAATGTTGAACGGGCTGCACCGTGCCACAGTCTGGTAAGGGAGGGAACAGTGTCCCTAGCTGATGTTACGGAGGGAATATGCTTTATCTTGTATGATGATTTCTGTTAATGACAGAATAGAATTTCTATGTGCCTCCTTCCCTAATAGATGAAATTCTTCACTGTCTAGATACATATCTTAGCAACAGTTATCCTTGCTTTACATTTTTTTTCAGTGTTGAAGTGTCAGTACTTCTTGCTGAGCTCCTTTTGAAGAGCCAAATGATGTAAAATAGATGGCAGTAGCACTATGTGCAAAGATGACTTGCATCTATCACCCAATACTGATGGCTGTTTCTGGGGTCCTGAATATAGAGCATCTCTGTACTCTAGTTGTTGTCCTGGCTTTAGAGAATGGTGGCTAGGTTTGTCTGAATTGGAAAGGCAAGTGTGTTTATATGGATATCTCAATGCTCTTCTCTGCCCTTGGTCCCAGGCATCTTCTGGGCAAGTTGCGAAGCTGGCACTTACATTCGAACACTGTGTGTCCACCTTGGCCTGCTGCTGGGAGTCGGAGGCCAGATGCAGGAGCTCCGGCGAGTGCGCTCAGGAATCTTGGGGGAGAAGGTAGGGTGTTAATGCTGTTATACTATAAACTGTTCTTCCCCAAAGTGTTGAGTTCAGGTCAGGGCTGCTGCCCCTGTTCTGGTAATTAAGCTTTGGGACAGTCAATGACTAGAGAATGTGCCAATGTGATGGGAAGTCTTACTTTTTGTCACTCCATTCTCCAGCCCACAAAACTGTCTCCTCTGAATTCAGCTGCATGAGCTTTCTGCTTACATTCTGCCTTGGGTTAGTGGCATATCTTATGCGTTGCATTTAAAAGGGCACCTTTTTGTACTATTTGAATGTTAGTTTGAAAGTGATATAAAAACTATAGATAGACTTTCCAGCCTGACCATAAAGGTAAAGAGAGTTCGGATAACTTTTGTTTCCAGAGCAAGTTATCTGAAGTGAGTCTCTGAATATAGGCATTTCTTCAAAAACTTTGTGCTTAGGAATGCACCGATAGGTTTTGGGGGGGGGTCGATACCAATGGCTGATTTTTTAAGGAGCCTTATCAGCCGATACCAGTCCAGTTCTGATATGCAGCCTCACAGCTTAGAGACCAGCGTCAGGCTGGTACATCTGGTGTGGGGGAGAGGGTGCGGGGAAGGAAGGCATGTCGGGGGGGCAGATTGAGGCCCTGCAGTGAGAGAGGGAGTGGGGCAGAGGCAGGCGCTGCTCAGCAGGGGTGGGGTGGGGCAGGGTGTGGAACAGAGCTGCAAGTGGCTGGTCTGGAAGATGGGGGCAGCACCCGCTGCTGCACACACCCTGGGGGGGCATATGATCCCAGATCTGCGTTGGGTGGGGGCTGCAGCCACCCCAAATTTCACTGTATACCCCCCCAAGTCCCCATTCCAGCACTGCCATCACACAGCCCAACCCAGTCCCCGGCCCCAGCCAGCAGTGGCAGCCTGCCCCGCACAAATCCAGGGGGCACACGCCCCCTGTGCCCTCCTGGGGCGTATGCAGTGATGGGAGCCAACCCCCAGGCCACAGCACCTGTCCCAGACCCATTTCATCCCTCAGCGAAGGGGCCTTGATCAGCAACCCCCCCGTGTCCCTTCTCTTCTCCTACACCAGACTTACCAGCCCAACTCTGGTCTCCAAGCCCCATTGGCCACCTCAGGCAAAAGAAGCCGATTGCGAATACTTTCAATTTTCCCTATGTCAGTGCCGATCTGATATAGGACCAATGTCTGTGGGTTAGATCACAAATTAAATGAATTCTATTTCCAGCAAGCACAAATACTAATTTGTGGTCAGGCACATCCCAGGACTGCAGTAGCAGGGCCAGGGCTGAGGGATTTTGTCCCTTATGTGGGATATGTTTGCTTAACTACCTTGTCCATGGCTGTTGCCAGTTTTGTCCCCGAGCCCTTTTTTTCAGAAACTCGGGATTTATCCTGACTTCAGCCTGCTCCTTGTGACTAGTGTTGTCTACATTCACTCAGGTCTGTCTTTTATATTGGTGGCTGACTTAAGGGTTGATGGAATGGGAAATGTCTTATTGCAGGACAGCATGGTGACTATGCATGATGTGCTAGATGCTCAGTGGCAGTATGACAACAACAAAGATGAGACTTATCTGAGGCGGGTTATCTTCCCCTTGGAGAAGTTGCTAACTTCGCATAAGCGGTTGGTGATGAAAGACAGTGCGGTGAGTTCAAAGGCGGCTGTGGAGATTGCTGACCCCATCCATCTTGGATAGCGAGAAGTCGGGGGTGGGGAATCTGGTGATAATCCAGGTGCTTATGGACAGCAGCCAAAACTGCTTTCAAAGGGTTAGCTGTGGGAGATAGAGTTTTGATGCAAGTCCCACCTGAGAAAGATGGGCAGCGTGCAAGATGACTTTTTCATTTAAAAACAAACAATCAATCATGTTCCAAGCCAAATCAATTCCAAATCCGTAAGTCATTCAAGAACCATGTGTGGCCCTACTACTGGCAGACATTCCAGTGGGGTTTCAGATGCTTCCAAATCATTTGGCGGGCATCCTACATGCAGGCCCAAGCCCAGAGACTTGGGGTTCAGATGCCCCTGAGTTTCACTTGCCCTCAGCCGTACGGCTGCAGGAGCAAGCTTAGGGAGGAATCTCCCATTTCCATAAAGTGGGCATAAAGCCAAGATCTTGCCACTGGAAATGAAAGTGGATGATTAACTATACATTACCTCCATGGGTACTACCCCGTGCCAAAAAAAAATTATGCCCAGCGACTAGGAAAGCCGCCTTAGTGATCACGGTATTTCAGGTCTACACTTGAGCTGAGCCAAAAGGCCACTTTCTCACATCTTATTTTGCTCCAGCTAGTGGAGTCTACTCTATACAGAACATTCCAGGGCTCCTTTTCATTAGTTCCCATAACAGGTGGGTGAGGGAATATTGTTGTACAAGATGGTGCTCGTGTATGGAAGTTGAAATGGCTAGATAACTTTGCAGAGTGGCAGTGTTTCATTTGTTGGTTAGGACCACGCTGCTTTTTATGCTAAGCCACCCATTCTCTTCCCTACCCTTCCAGGTTAATGCCATCTGCTATGGAGCCAAGATAATGCTTCCTGGTGTCCTGAGGTACGAAGATGGCATTGAAATTAATCAGGAAATAGTTGTCATCACTACTAAAGGGGAAGCCATTTGCACAGGTAAGAGGAGATCACTGGTCTTCTAGCTGCCAGGCTCACTTGCAGTAAATCTGGAAGGTTTTCACTAGCATGTTAGTAAAGTTGCAGCAAGCATGGGAGCTGAGTAAAATGTGTGCATATTAGGCAGACTCACCATGGACAAGTACTTTAAACCCTGTTTCTTGGTAACAATGACAGGATGTTATCATTTAGATAACTAACATACAACGCATAGGCATCTAGGAGTGCCAAATCAGTGATGACAACTAAAAAGTAAAAGTATAGTATAGTAACTGAAAATAGGTTGATTGCAAAGTGGTCGTCATCAGACTTCATGATCCCATTACTTCATAGTTATTTGTTCCTTTGTTGTCTCCCTTGAATCCTTGAGGTAGACCAGGATTCTTGTGATGACTTTTCATCTAGTCCTACTGTCCTGGGTGTTGAGATGTGTGGTATGTGAAGTCATGATGAAGTTTATCCATTCTCTGAGTGCCTCTGCACTGCCCCCCGCAACACCCAGGTCCCTGTTCTAGAGGCTTTGTGCTGTGCAGCCTCCAGATTCCCCCCAGTCTCTCAGTGGTCTACTGGGGGCTATTCGCATGTCTGGATGGCTGCCTGCAGGAGTGAAATAGCCAGCCGAGCTGGAGCCTCTTTCTTTGGGGGGCTCCATCTCGGCCAAGATGAGGGATGCTGTCTGATCACATACTTCTGCCTGGTAAAGAGTTCTCTGCATGCCAAAAAACCTGGTGTAAAGAAATAGGTAAGCTGTAGATGGCAGCTGACCTACTGTGAACTGTTGCATATACTTCTGTGCTTATACTAAAGCATTGTTTCAAACAGACACTGCACAGGAAGTAAACACCAAGGTTTCACGTGACTGAAACAACACGTGGGGTTGATTAGTGCAAGTGTTTTTTATTGTGCACATATCCCATCTCCTGCACAGTACACCTCCAAGTAATGTGACAGACACCCTTATGGGTTAGTTGATGTATCCCATGTACTCTATGTAACGCTTCCTCTTCAGTGTAGCCAGTGGGGTTGAGCCTGGTTACAGACTTAGGAAACTGAGCTAGGTCTCTTAACCCAAGCAGTAGAGATTCCTGCTTTTAGTCTTAGGATCATAATTGATTCATCTTCAGTAGAGTATAAACCTATACCCTTTGGCTTCCATGATCACAGGCTTCGGAAGGCTTTGGCTTCCATGATCACAGTCCATTCTTTGGTGAGAGAGGCAGTGGTCTGCTGGGAAGAGACGGCCTCCACCTCACTGCACTGGGAAGGAGGCTCTTCTCAGCCAGACTGGCTGACCTGCTTGACCGGGTTTTAAACTAAGCCTGCCAGGGGATGGGGGGACTACCACCACAGCAAGCCCACTGGGCAACTTTTGCAAATCCAGCAGGCTAAGGCACTCAAAGGAACCCACCCCTACCCCAGTCCTGGAACAATGTAGGGAAGACTAAGGCCCCCAATGGGACACTTATGTACCTGTACACCAATGCCAGGAGCTTGGGGATCAAGTGGGAAGAACTGGTCCTCCTGCTAAACAAGAATGACTATGATCTCATAGGGATAAAGGAGACCTGTTGGGTCTCCACCTATGACTGGGCCACAGGTATGGGTGGCTATACCTTGTACAGGAGAGATCAGTAGACAAAAGGGGCAGGGGTGTACCTCTCTACGTCAAGGAAAGCTACGCGTCCCTGCAAGCTGACATTGGCATGCAGGGTGGACGACTGGAGACTCTCTGGGTTAAAATCCGTGGTGAACATGGCATGGGACACAATGGTAAGTCTACTACAGACCTAACCAGGAACAAGAGCTCGACCAGGACTTCACCAAGGAACTGGTTGAGGCTGCACACTCCAAGTGCATGGTTGTTATGGGAGACTACTGCGACCCAGGCATCTTGTGGCCAAATGCGAATGGTTGCAAAGCTTCCTTGTGCGTGGATGAGCTCTATCTGACTCAAGAAGTCTATGAACCGATGACAGGCAAAGCGCTGCTCGACCTGGTACTGGCAACGGGGGATGATTTAATCAACGACCTAATGATTGAAGGGGAGCTGGGAGACGGCGACCATGAGCTGATCACCTTTACCATCTTCCGTAAAGCTGGCAAGTCAGTCGGCAATGCAGAAGTCCTCGACTTGAGGAAAGCTGACTTTGACAATCTCCGGAGGCTTGTTGGCGAGGCCCTAAGGGACCACAACCCAAAGGGGAGGGGAGTTCAGGATGAGTGGTTGCTCAAGGGAGTGATCCTGGAAGCACAAGCAATGTCTGTCCCATCTCGGAGGAAAGGCAGCAAAAGGGCACAGCAGCCCCCTTGGCTCTGCAGTGAACTTGTGGACCTCCTACATCTAAAAAGAAAGACCTATAAAGGATGGAGGACTGGATCCACCTCAAAGGAGGAGTATTCTGCACTGGTCCAGACCTGTAGGGAGTGAACCAGGAAAGCCAAGGCTGTTACCGAACTCGAACTGTCTGCATGTATCAAAGACAATAAGTCCTTTTTTTTTTTTTTAGGTATGTGGGGAGTGGGAGGAAAGACATGGGTAATATTGGACCCCTGCTAAACTGTATGGGACAACTGATAACTGATGCCCAGGAAAAAGCCAACCTGCTTAATGGGTATTTTGCATCTGTTTTTCACCAGCCCCAAGGGACAGCCATGCTCGGTACGGTACGGGACAGCCAGGGTGAGAGAGAATTGTTACCCTACGTCAATGTCTGGCACTAGCATGGATCTTCAAGTACTCGTGGCACTCAGGTGAAGTGCCTGAAGATTGAAAGAAGGCCAACGTGGTGCCTATCTTCAAGAAAGGGAAGAAAGTAGACCCGGGGAACTACAGGCCTATCAGCCTGACCTCTATCCTGGGGAAGATCTTGGAAAAAATTATCAAAGGGACCATTCTTAACGAACTGGCTGATGGCAACATCCTGAGGGATAGCCAGCACGGGTTTGTTGCAGATAGGTCTTGCCTGGCCAATCTCATCTTCTATGATCAGGTGACATACCACCTGGACAAGGGTGAAGAGATTGATGTCATATATCTTGATTTTAAAAAAGCCTTCGATCTGATGTCCCATGATCATCTCATGGAAAAATTGGCCAACTGCGGCCTCGGCTACTTCACAGTCCAGTGGCCGGGGAATTGGCTCTGAGGTTGGACCCAGAGAGTGGTAGTTGATGGAAGTCGATCATCGTGGTGTGCCGTGATCAGTGGGCCGTCCTTGGGCCTATACTCTTTAACATCTTTATTAATGATGTGGACATTGGTATCAGAAGCAGACTGACCAAGTTCACCGATGACACTAAACTTTGGGGTAAAGTGTCCACACTTGAGGGCAGGAGGGTGACCCAGGCTGACCTAGACGGGCTCAGAAAACGGGCAGGCATAAACCTGATGGCGTTCAACACTGAAAAATACAAGGTACTTCACCTGTGGGGGGGACCCTGCAGCACGCTTATAGGCTCAGCAGTGCTATGCTTGTTAGCACCATGGCCAAAAGGGACTTGGGGCTCATGACTGACCACAAAATGAATATGAGCCACCAATGCAATGCCGCCGTTGGTAAAGTGAGCAAAACTCTGGCTTGCATCCATAGATGGTTCTCAAGCAAATCCCAGGATATTATCGTCCCGCTGTACTTGGCCTTGGTGAAGCTGCAGCTGGAGTACTACATCCGATTCTGGGCTCCACAATTTAAAAAGGATGTGGAGAAGCTTGAGAGAGTCCAGAGGAGAGCCACATGCATGGTCAGAGGGCAGGAAAACAAGCCTTATGAGAGGCTGATTGCCATGGGATTCTTCAGCCTGGAAAAGAACAGGCTCAGGGGTGACCTGGTGACAGCCTATATGTGCATAAGGGATGTACATCAGGATCTGGGGGAACATTACCAGTTCACCAGAGTGCTCCAAGGGATGACAAGGTCAAATGGTCACAAACTCCTCAAAGACCATTTCAGGCTGGACCTAAGGAAGAACTTTTTTACTGTCCAAGCCCCCAAGGCCTGGAACAGACTCCCTCTAGAGGTGGTGCAGGCACCTGCTCTGGACTCCTTTTTAAAAGGCATTTGGGCATCTGTCTTGCTGGGATCCTTTGACCCCAGCTGACTTCCTGTGCCTGGGGCAGGGGGCTGGACGCTGTGATCTTCCAAAGTCCCTTGCAGTCCAAATGCCTATGAAATCTGTGAGGCCTGTGCTGAGTGGATCTTGCAGATAGTTTTTCGGGTCTTCTTTTTTCAGATTTCTCTCTTGGGGATAATTATTTTTGGAAAATGTCTTTCTAACCCTTCGATGGAGGTGTAGAGCAAAATGAACCCATTAACTGCATAAGCTACACCATAGCCCATACAGCTTTTTTTGTTCCTCACAATATTCACAAACTTTTTTCTTTTAATCCACATCTGTAGCCATTGCCTTGATGACCACTGCTGTGATTTCTACCTGTGATCATGGGATAGTGGCAAAGATCAAGAGAGTAATCATGGAAAGAGACACTTACCCCCGCAAATGGGGTCTTGGCCCAAAGGTAAGCTGTGGGAGTTAAGGGAATTGCTTGTTGGAAGATTTTTCAAGTGGTTGTTCTGCTGCTGAGAAGCTGATTTCTGGGTAGATTCATTCAAAGCTGCAGGTCCAACATACTGGCTTGCAGTTTGTCAACCCAAAAGCTCCGAGTCTAAGAGCACAGCACGTAAGCTACTTCAGCTCATGTCACTTGGGCGTTTGCATGCCATCTGAAATGGACTTGATCAGCTGTGCCTCTGCTGTGAAACTCGGAGAAACCATTGGGCTGTGTCTTGCATTATTATAACAGTGTCAGAGAGCTGGATTTCTCGTAACATGGTTCAAATCCTGTTCCCAAGTGTTTAAGAGTCAGTCTACACAAGTCTTGATTAGTCTGTGCTGGGGACCTTTCTTCCATGAAGAGCCAAATGATGTAAAACAGATGACATCAGCACTCTGTGCAATGCTGACTTCCATCTATCACCCATTACTGATGGCTCATGGAGGGGCTGAGCACAGAGCAATCAGTTCTTTATTCTTGTGAGACTTAAGTAATGTGTAAAACAGAGTTCTTTGAAAGGTACCATAGAAATGAAAAAATACTGTTAACTACAATGCATGTAGGCAATGCCACTTACACATTCTCCTGCCTGAGATCCTTGCCTTCATGTTATAACCACCTGCCTAACTGGTACAGTAACAGTAGATGATTGGCTCCATCTGGCTTGGAGTTTAGCCTCCCCCAGACTGTTAGGATAAAGTTCTCTTTTCTGGCTTGCTTATTGCCTCAGGAATGTACTCGTATTACATGTATAAGAGAGATGGCTAGCTGTGTCAGTCTGAAGTCAGACAGAAGGTAGGGCAAGGTGGCATCTTCAAGACCTAACTGGTTCAGAGAGGCATGTGTCCTACCTTCTACAAATATAAGAATGACTTATAAACAGAATACAGGAATCTGCAAGTTGCTGTCAGAGGGGAGGGGGGGGTGTAACTAGTAAAGGGAGGCCTTACCTTGCTCTTTACATTACTTTTATACCTTGTGACTTCAACTAGAAAAGATAAATCTTTGAAGCTGGAATAAGACCGTTTACACTTTATGCACTCTTGTATCAGGCAACTCAGAAGAAGATGATGATCCAGCAGGGCCTGTTGGACAAGCATGGCAAACCCAATCAGAGCACGCCAGCTTTTTGGGAGAAGGAATATGTAGACTACAGGTAACATTGTGTGTGTCAGAGACCTGTTGAGGGGCAGGCTGGAGGGGTGATCTCTGCTAGTCTTTCTAAACTGAACTATGTGCATACAGGAGAACCTCGCCATTCGTGGGGGATCCATTCTGGAGATCCCTGCTAATGGTGAAATCCACGAATACTGACAGGGCTCCCTGTCAGATGCCACAGCCGCCCCCCACCCTGCCATGAGAAGCTGGAAGCACGGGGCTCCTCTGCAGCACCTGGGGACCGACTGCAGCTGCCTCCAGGGGAGAAGCTGCCACCTCCCTCCCCGTCCCTTGCGCTCTGCCTTCCCCTGCCCCACGCAGCGCTCTGTGCCTGCTTACGTAGAGGAAGGAGCTCGGTGCAGCGCCAGAGGGAGCTGTGGCAGCACTTGCCCTGACCCGCTCCATTGGCGTGACGCACTGCAAATATTCAAATCCACAAATAGTGAGGGTTTCCTGTAGTCTTCACAGTGTTCAATTGCTCCTCAATTTTTGGGACCCTGTTGACTTCTTAAAAAAATCTTTGTTCAATGAAAAGTCACTGATTTGGAAATGCCTGGCAGGGTGTGTGTTTACAGCCTCTAGTTGGCAGTTGTCGTGGTGTCCGTTGTCCTTGTGCAGTGCTGTTTGACCTGCACCCATCTGCTGCCCCACGAGTTAAATGGCTTGCAGACAGTTATCCCTTTCTAGCCTGATACTTGTGGCTCTAGAGGGAGTCAGTCTGCTAAATCAAGCAGGGGAATCTCAGCCTTTATCCAGCACAGCTGGGTGCTGATGCAGACTTCAGGTTTCCCATACACCAAGTACCTTTGGTATCTTGGAATACCACAGTATGTACAAGTGCTTCACCTGTGTAGTAGCAGGAGACTGAGGGATAGGGCTTGGTCTGAGAGGAAAGTAACTAGAGAATTAATTCTGCTCACTCAGGTGTGTTTTTCCTTTCAGGATCACTGTAAAGAAAGAAGAAAAAGCCACCACATCTTGCGAGGCAGAGAGGACACCAAAGGTTGGTGTCTAGTCCTCTTTATGAAATGTATTTCAGACTTGGATGGTGGGTGGCAATAAATATCTTTGCCTTGGTAGGTTGGTTCATGAAGTTAAAGCTCTGTATTGTTGCTTTGGGGGAGGGTTTTGAAGGCCTGTTACAGAACTTAGTGCACAGGTTCTCCTTGTGTTCATTTATTAGTACATCAGAGTAAGTTTTAACATGATTTATTAGCCAGCAAGCTGGATGATTAATGGAGATGTTGTCAGGCTTTGGGAGTTATTTGAGGCACAAGGCTTGGGAACCAGAGTTCAAAAGGACAGAAGGCTACGACCCTGGATGTGAATGAAGGGCTCTGATGGGATTCCAGAAGCATAGTGCATTAGCCCGATTCTGACTGAGGCCTTACCCAGCTTAGAAGCCAGCCAGTGCAAATGACTGGAGGCAGAGTATATTGGATCCAAGTGCCTGAACCTCTGTTTCGGTTTTGGTACCTTGTGTTCAAATGATGATTCCCAGAAAGGAGCAGCACAGATCTCTAACTTGTACATGGAACGTTTCCATGGAATTGGTGCGCCATGCTGCTCCTGTACATGGGAGCAGCAGCAGGGTTTGTCTAGAATCTTTCAGAAGCTCATAGACAAGTTCCTCGGTCTGTTTTCCACTCCTATGTATATATGCCACTTAACTGCACATTACTAGGCATAAGGCTTTATCTTCCTCCTTGCTGGGGGAGCAGGGAGGAAGAGCCATTCAGACCTGTGTAAAATAATCCTTTTCATCAGTCGTAATGCTTTGGAGAGAGCGCCTGTCCTGAATGTGTCTTCCCCCTTTAACAGCGAAAGCGAGAGACTGAAAGCGAAAGTGAAGAGGTGACAGTGGCTAGCTTGTCTCCAACTACTCCAGAGCCTGAGGAGCTGAGCAAGAAGGAAAAGAAAAAGAAGAAAAAAGAAAAGAAGGCCAGAGAAGCTGCAGAGAGTGCAGGCGAGCAAATGGAAGTGGTAGGTAGCTGTGCAGTGCCCTTGTGCAGCGCAAGCTGAAGAGTTCCATTAGATTTGCCAGGCAGGGCTGGTAGTTAAACTGGTGGATACTTCCTTGATGAAGACAGGGCCCTGGACTGGTACAGTAAGTACATGTTGAAAGAGGACTTCTCTTGAGCAGTGTTGTTGGGGCCTGGGCCTGTGAGCTTAAGGGAGTTAGTGTAGGGAGCAGAGTCTGGTAAATGCTTTCCAAAGGAAGCGCGTCAGACAGCCTCCATGGGGTTGGAATTCTCCCCCATGGGGTAGTTCTGTGCAGAATGGTCAGGGATTCCTCTGCCCATTCTAGAAGAAACTGCAGATCCAATACTGGTCTTCAGTGCCCTTTCCTTTGGTGTAGTGTTATGTTTGCTTCCAATAAACATGCTCCCTGGACTGCAGTTCACTGCAGATGGTCAGTTACTGACCTGCTTATCTCAGTTTGGGGCAGTGGGGTATTTCCCTCTCAACCTGTGGAATTGGGAAGCCTGGGCCTGAAGGGATGAGAGCACAAGTAAGACTTTTCAGGTCCATATTTTTAGAAATGACCGAGTGACCTGAAGAATCGCTTGCATTGCAATCTTACCTAACTCTATCCCAAATTTGCAGTTGGTCCAGTAAAAGATACCACCATAAGAAATCCCTTGCCTCTTCCATTAGAATATGAGAGTCTATCTCTGGCCTTCCTGAGTTCTCTGTCCTCTCCACAGGCTGGTGAAAGCAGTGCCAAGAAAAAGAAGAAGAAGAAAAAACAAAAGGAGGCTGAAGAGAGCTCTGAGTAAAACTGGTTTCTGGTTGGGGAGGACGAACCTGAGAACGAATAGCTATTCCCCCAGCAGGGCAGAAAGACTGACCACGTAGCGAGGGGCCTGCAGTGTGACAAGGCCCCTCATCTGCTGCTTGCACGCAAACAGGAGAATATCTCTGCAAAGGGCCATAGCCTACTCACTGTAAGCCCTCTTCATCCTGTTTTAAGGGTAACGAGGGTAGGGAGCACAAACAGCCACTGCACTGGACTGTTAGAAGCTACCACAGACTGGGCACCTTGTGCATAGAAACGGTGTCCTCGGGGCATCAACAGCTCTGGCTACAAATAGGTTATCTTAACCAGTGTTTCCAGCTTCCACCACAAATGGGGAATAACACTTTCTTTCCCTTGTTCTACCTTTCTCCTTTGTTCAGTGCTGAGTCATTACCCCAGACAGTTGCCAAATGCTTTTAAAGCTGATGGGGTTGGCTTGAGGTACTTGCTGAGGAGAGCATGGGGGGGAGGCAGGAATTAGAATACTTTTGACTGACTAGACTATTTTTACATGCTTTGGTTTTAATCTTGCCATGTATTTGGTTTGACCTTCCTTCTGGAGTCCAAACATTTTCCCAAAAATATTTTTGGGGTTTTTTCCTCTTTTTGGGGTCCCTGGAGACAGAGGTGAGACACAGTCCCATCTCCCCCCATCAAAATGCAGCTATTTCCTGAGGTGAGCTGTTGTTAGCAAGTGGTGGGTCTCTGATACTGTCAGACTGTCCTCATGCTGTTTTAACCCCTTAGTGAAGGGAAGGGCCAGGCTGCTGTGCGCTGAGTATCACTTGCTGCCCAGCTGTGTAGTGGCTTTGTGTAATCTTTAATTTGTCTCCCTTTTTTCCCCTGTCCAGTGCTAGGGAGGTGTGTGCATGGTGTATGCAGAAAGTGGCCATTAGGAATTTAAGCAGAAAAAGGTTGTGATTTTTTTTAATTTACTTTTTATATATATAAAAAAAAAATTAAAAAACTATTTTTCATCACATGGCTCTTTGCTCTTCTGGCTGCTTGGTGCTGGGTGACAGGCTCAATCAGGCACTGAGCCATGATCTATTGCTAGAGAATGAAGCCTGCCCATCCATCTCGGGAGCAGCTGCAGAGGAACCCAGTGGCTGTTAGTTCCTTGCCTATGGGCTCTGCCTCCAAGGAAGAGGATAGTGCTGCTAAGGGGAATAGTGTTCAGGTAGCACGCTGAAACCAAAAGCCAGTGCTGAATCTGTCTAGAACTCCTGGTTGGCTTTGCCTTTTTTCTCATTACTGCCTGAAAGCCTGCACTGTGAGGAAATGGGCTGCAGCTGGTGATGTGGGGGGTGGATGGTGATCATATAGGTATTGTCACTCCAAATGTATCTTAACTGGGGATGGAGAGCACTAGACTAGTGCAAGGCCAGGATGCTGCTCTTTTTTCAGATGGGCAGTGCTCAATGCAGCAAGTGGGACAAGTATTGAGTGGTCCTATAAGTTTTCTGGTGGTAGGAGGTGCCCAGCCACTTCTGCCTGATGACAGTTCCTGTTTCCCAGGGGAGTGACTGAATCAGTGAAGGGGAATGTCCTCAGCAGTTCTGCACACCCCATGCTGAGACCATGAGCCAAAAAGCATATTCAGCACAAACTATAAAGCTCCAGTCATGGCAAGGTTTCAACACACTTTTATTGCTACTCCGTTTCCCTGCAGTGGCCTAGAACAAAGTCCCTATTGCACATCATGAGTTGTTTTTGGCATCCTTGAAAAATTGCACTAGAGTTTATACCCATTCTTCTTCTGCTGAATGCACAGAAGACCCCTTACCTAGATGCTATGGAACTACTGCAACACGTGAGCCCCTGGTCCTATCTCTGTGGGGCTTAAGGACAGATAACAAACCCAGTGAAATAGTTGGAGGAGAGGGAGCACTCTGTGGCTGGCTGGCTAAATGTGTAAGCACCAAATCAACAGGTACCTCACGGGTGGGAGTTGTGGGTAACATTTGCAGATAGTGGGAGCTGCCCCTTGGCTGGAGAACATGCCTGCATGGTCTGTCAAGACATTCAGTTTCTACTGCATGAAATGGGATACACAATGGTCCGGGTTGAATCTAATTTACCAGTTTGTTTCTTCTCTGTATGGTCTATGGAGTTATTTACCCTAAGCATTGTTGAGTCTCTGAGGACAGCTGATAATGGAGTCAGAATCCAGGAGCAGAGATGAAACCACAGTTGCACAGGTTATGCCAGAAAATTAAAAACTTCCACTGCCAGAGTATGGAGCAGCCCAAGGATATCAAACTCCCACCCCCACAACAGGCTCTAGCTATGCCAATGAAAGAAATCCTTAAAATACAAGCTGATGTACCACAAACTTAGCCCAGAAAAAATACCAGCTAGACACATGAACTGTTTTTATGGCTATGTTAAGCTTCATGATGCTGAAGCTTAATGAATATGGGCTAATGCTGGTATGCACTGTGAGCTAAAGGTTGAAGAAAGGAGTAGCAGAGATGAGGCTGGAAGTGTCCCTACCTTACCTCTTCAGCTCTTGTAATTAAGTTACTTTTTATCAGCAGTTGGTTACTAGATGATGTCTTCCCAGCCTCTGTCACTGCAGAAGCTTCCCTGTGCAACCAGTAGGAGTTGTGTTGTGAATGAAAGATTCTATCTGGCTCTAGCAAGATCTAAACTGTGGCTTATAAATCTAATGATTCCCTCTCCCAACTGAATTTGACAGCCCCCCCCAAGCTAATTCTCTGTCCTTTACTGCTAATAAAGCAGGAAGGTTGGCAATTTGTGGTGCAGGCTCTGAGCTCACTGCACTCCTACCCTGTGTCGGATAGACCAGTTTAGGCTGTATTCATAAAACAAGGAGCAGGGAAGGCTGTGGGGCTTCTCTCACCCCATGCTGAAGGATGGGTTCTAGGGAAGCTGCCTGGGTGAGAAGACATCTCAGTAAACCCATGAGACGGGAACCCACTGGGGTGAGGTGCAGGCCTGGTTAAAGGCTTCCTCCAACAGCCTGAGGCTCTCATCCACGCCATTGTTGATCAGCGACAGGTCGAAGTAATGTGCATAGCGGCTGCAGATGGTCTCTGATTCCTTCCGTAGCTGCTGCAAGGCTTCCGACTGCAAAACAGTGTAAAGTCTATAAAATGGAACTGCAGGGTGGGGAGATGTTTCCCAGAAGGGACCTGCCCCCCAGGCCAAGGGACCTCTTGTGCTTTCCCCACAATAATGACCGGACTGGCCTGTTCCCCTGATGAAAGTCCATCCAACTACCTCCTCGTACAGTAGCAAATACTGGCTTCATCCCAATATACAAGTCAGCCAAGTGCTCTCTATCAGCTTGCCTTAGTGGCTTTTGTTCAGGGATGCTGAGCTTTGCCCAGTGAGGCATGTTCTAAATGCTGCTGCTGTGTGGACCAAAGCTGTGGGGCCTTACAGTGCTGCAGGTGCTTCCTAGAGCTTACAGGTGGCAACCTGTATGCAGAACGTTCCCAGGCTGTGTGACGGCTGTTTTGCATGTCTCATGATGAGGCACAGTCACCCACGGGAGGCTCTGGGGTGGAAGATGCTTGTCATGACAGCACTCAGTAAATACGACCCAGCCACATGGGACTGTGAGCACCTAGGAAGCTGCCAGCAGAACGCTGCAATTGTCACGGCACAGTGGAACATTCCATCCACAGTCTGACATTTGTGACCAGCCAGGCATTGTGACAGTGAGCTCCACAGACAGGAGAAGAAATCCTGCAAGTTCCTGCACTTGACAACAGCTACTTGCAGGATTGTATTATCCTGAAGCGAGCATCCACAGAGCAATGATACTCTCCTACCAAAACAACTGCTGGCAGGTTCTGTGCTGTGGACAAAGCCCTGCCCTGCCTCCCTGAGAGCAGTTGTTCTGATTCTACTCTGAATCCAGCCAGTCATCCATGCTGGGGGAGCTCAGTGGAGTCCCTTTCCTATCCACCCTTCTGTCTTGCCTATTGAGACCCTGTCTGCACCACAAATGCTGCCAGCAGGGGGGGTGGGCAAAGATCCTGTCCTGTAACCAGCAGAGCTGTTGGAACTAGTGGAAATCTGGCCACACAAAAGCTCATGCCACAGGGATGGGCAAAATGTGGCCTGCGGAACAGACATGGCCTGCCAGGCCATTCCATCTGGCCCGCGGGACCCCTAAAAAATTTAGAAAATATTTATCTGTCCCTGGCTGCCTGTCATGCGGCCCTCGATGGCTTGCCAAAACTCAGTAAGTGGCCCTCTGCCCAAAATAATTGCCTGCCCCTGTCATACCAGCTGTTGGAGGTCTCTGTTGGGGGCTTAGGTGCTGCAGCTCAAGCAAAAGCCACAGTTTAGGGTAGTCCAACTTAGGCACAGCCAGGCGTGGTCAGCATGCTACAGGGATGGCCCCCCCAGGATGCATCCCCTGCTGCATGGTAGCACGAGAGGTGACTGCCAGGAACCATGGGCCATATATTAACTGCTCAGTTGGACAGGCCTGGTGTAGACAGAGATCTTTGAGGCAGGGACAGTAATGCAAGCGTAAGCAGGACCCAGCCCAGCACAGCCCTTGAAGCTGGTACAAAAGTGCTGTAGTGCAGCACAGCTAGCTGCCTGAGGGATGTTCAGACCCTCCCCAGACAGTTCCTATTATAAGTGGGAGCTCTCTCTTTATTTAAATGGGGAAAACCAGGTTCTTTGCTGTTTGCTGCTGTCCTGCATCCTGCACAGCTAATGGAGCTTGAAATGAACATGGCTTTTCCTTTTGTTTACTACCAGCAGGAGCATGAGCTCAGCTCTGGGCAACTGAGAATTGCTGCAGGTTGAACCAATCCCTTTGCTGTACAGCACATAACAGATTGTTGGTTGGAGGGATCATCACTGCTCTCCACTATCTGAGTTCCTTGTGGTCACATTTCAGCTCCGTTCTGTTCTTTTCAGGAAGCTGTTACCTGAACTGCAGCAGCTAGCTATATATAGCATATGCTTCAGCACCCTCCGTCCTGCCCACTGCGGCAGGCACAAGCTCCCGGCAGCAGGATCTCCACCATTTGTACAGGCACCAGCGCACAGAGGAGGAGGGGCCTGGCTGCCCCATGGATTTTTCAGCTTGGTCCTTATGTAACACACTGCACTCTGAGGCCCTTCTGCTAACAAATCAGATTGCAGGCAGTTTGAGTGGAAGGTTGCTTAAGTCTTTTCCTACCGTAATATTCTCTGAGAACAGCAGGCCCCCTAATCTTAGCAAATCCACAGCCGCAGGCTGATTCACAGAGCCAGCTCCGGCCACAAGCATGCAAACCAGCCCGACCCAGGCTGGAGCATGCTCAGGGCCAGGCAGAGCCTGATTCCACAGGGGTGTTTTACCCTCTCTCCTAGTTTTGATTTCCAACTCTTTGTTGCATGTTAGGTCTGTCCTGACAGTGCCACTGAGGCACCTGGCAGTCAGCCAAGGCACTGGCTTGTCCTAGTGCCAGTACTGCTGGAGAATCAACCCAAAGAAGTTGTGTTGTGAACTGCCCCATGGGAGCCACGGAGCTCCCTGAGCCAGGCGCTTTATAAACACTGCTTCCCTCCGAATTCAAGGAGGATGAACTTAATTAGCCAGCTCATTTGCTCTTTGCATATTTGAGACTAGTTAACAGGCCTCCTCCAAGCAGTGCTGGCTAAACAAGCTTCATTTCAATGCTCAGCAGAGCCCCAGACTGCAGTGGCAGAGACCAGAGAAAATGGAGGAGGAGGTGACACTTCCCTGCTTTGCTCTCACTGCCACGGAGCATCTCTTGAGAGTGGAAAGCTCTGCAGTTGTGGGTGTTTCTGAAGTGAGTTATAGTGCCTGGATAATCCTGCAAGATTTGTAGGATGGGGCACGACAGCATGCACGGGAAATAGTGCTCCTAAGTTGGTGTCTTAGGTCAAGGCTGTCCATCTTCTAAGCCTCTGGGGGCTGAATGCCCACCATGATGCACCAGTGCGGGCTGTACCAGAGTGAGCCATAGGCTGCCTGATCTGCACACTGTGTGCACACTCCTGCCACTGCTGTGCTGCACACCCATCACTCCCCTTCCCCCCCAGACCATCCACCGACATAGCTTACCCTCAGTGTGGTACTGCACTGCCATGCTACCCCCTGTGGTGGGGGCAAAGAGCAAAACTTAGTGGAGGGAGGGGGAGCTCAGAGAGCCCAGCTGCTGTTGCATCTAGACCAATGGAGGGAGAGGCAATGGGGCAGAAGCCCCTGCCCACAGACCACCAGTTGAATAGTACTGTTGTAGGCTATTGTCCCCTGTATTGGAAGCTGGTGGCTTGGCTATGGAGCTGGAAGGGAAGGTGAATGGGGCTCTTGCTGAGAAGCTGCACAAAATGCACAGCTCCTGAGGGCCAAGTGTCACCTGCTGCAACCCTGCTCCTCCTTCAGCTGCCTAATAGCCTGCTCTTCCAGCCCAGAGGCACCCCCCCTTGCAGGACCTACAGTAGGAGGGAACAGAGCAGCAAGGGGCAGGGAAAATGGCTGTTCCCTCCCTGATGAGCTGATGCTGGCACTGAGGGACCTTGGACCTTCTCTGTTCCTAGAGCTTTGGTATCACATGCAGCTGGAAGCAGTCATCTGCCAGGCCCCAGCAAGAAAAGCCACGTGCTTGAATGAGCAACTAAAACCCAGGTCTTTCTGCAGTGGTCTGAGAAGACTGAGTACCGCAGAGCTGCTGTACCCCACCAGCCAGCCTGGGGCAGGAGAGGGGCTGGTAGGCACCAAGGAGCAGGGCTCCAACATCCCCTGCCCTGCACCAGCCTGTGGCTTGTCAGCTGGATTGAATTTGATGGGATGTAAAAATAAGCCCATACCTCTGGTTGAGAAAAAAAACAGACCCCATCCTCAAAGAAGGCACAAGAGCCACTGACTGAGTGAGGGGAGAACCAGCCCCTCTGGGCTTGCCACCCCAGAGAGGAGAGGTGAATCAACACTATGCTGCAAGGAAAAGCTGTTTCACCTCCTTGCTGTGAGCCACAGCTTCCTTCCCTGGTGTTATACAGGCCTGAGGATGCTTGGGAATGACTACAGGGAAAGGTCTGGAGGGACTGGCCCATCTACAACCTTCACCTCTGTCCCCCAGCACCAAACAGCCACTGCTCACCTGGTCGGCCTTGTCTGTTGGAGCGATGAAAACAATGAACGGGGATAGCTCTGCAGTGCGGATGATCTTCAGCGTCTGCAGCACATAGAGGGAAAAGAAACAGGCTACTCAATGGAGGAGCACTGCTGTCCGGAGCAGCTGGAGCAGGGAGCACCACACGCCGACTACCAGAGCCCCGCCGCCTCTTTCACCCTCCCCAGGTGCTCTGCTGCAGCCTCCCAGAAGAGGAGTCAGATGGCCATGGTATCCAAATCACCCCTAGGGATGGGGATCTCCAGGTCAAAGGGGAGGCATCTGGGTGAGGCTGGAGGCAACTTGCACTATTGAAGTAGATGTCTGGGCCCCAGAGCAGTATGGCTGGCACCTCTGGCTAAGTATAAATTCACTCATAAGTCCTTAGCTAGGGCTGCACCAATGGGAAGCCTCCTATGAGCACTGGCTGTGCCAGCTTGCAGCAACAGGCATCCTGCTTGCCATCTTCCTTGGGTGACCATATGAAACAGTGACACCTTGGGGCAGTGCACTACTTCTGGGTGAGCAGCACCTGGGTGGGGAGTTCTTAGCAGTCATTATTCTTTCTTGTTCTAAAGAAAAATTCTCAGGAACCAGAAGCACTGAGCCACTCATTCAAGGAGGGAAGGCCAACTTTGCCTTTGGCTCAAACTGCGTTTCCCCCCATGCATCCCCCCCAACACCCCAGAACTCTTCTCTTCCCACCACCCCATGGTGGCCAGAAGGGCTCCCACTCAGTTATTTCTCATTCAGTGCCAGTAATGCAAGGCATGGCTTCTCCTGTCCTAATTGTACTCTACCAGGCTGCTCCAGGCATGGACACCATGGGGATATTTGAGCATAGGAAAGTAGGGCTGGAAGGGACCGCACAAGCTCATCTAGTACAGTCCTCTGCTCATGACAGGATTGTCCCAGCTGAGTGTCTATCCAACCTCCTCTTGACATTTTGCAGGAATAGAGATCCCACAACTTCTCTAGGTAGCCTGTTCCAATGCTTGATCACCCTCAGGGGTGATCTGATGGCCACCTATAAGTTTATCAGGGGTGACCACCAGTATCTGGGGGAATGTTTGTTCACCAGAGCGCCCCAAGGGATAACGACTAGGTCGAATGGTCATAAACTACTACAAGACCGTTTCAGGCTGGACATAAGGAAGAATTTCTTTACTGTCCAAGCCCCCAAGGTCTGGAACAGCCTGCCACCAGAGGTGGTTCAAGTGCCTACATTGAACACCTTCAAGAGCAAACTGGATGCTTATCTTGCTGGGATCCTATGACCCCAGCTGACTTCCTGCCCTTTGGGCAGGGGGCTGGACTCAATGATCTTCCGAGGTCCCTTCCAGCCCTAATGTCTATGAAATCTATGAAATCATGGTCAGAAAGTTCCTCCTAATCTCCAGCCTGAATTCTCTTTGCTAAAGCTTGAGACTGCTGCTCCCACTCCTGTCCCTACAGCCACAGAGAAAAAGCTATCTCCATCCTCTCTGTAATCACCCTCCAGCTATTATATGCCAATGGCTGGCCCCCTTGCCATCTACTTTTATGTCCCCCTTCTGAGGCAGGAGCTCTACAAACTACACATGCAGCAGGGAGATAAGCAAGTTGTAAGCAATGACTTTGAGGGACAGGTCCGGCAAGTGAGCACATGTTGGCTTTACCGAATCGCAGAAAGCCAAGGCAGGAAGAGACCCCATATGATATCATCCAGTGATGTCTTGCAGCGAGACAGCAGCAGGTACTTAGACCATCCTTAGCTTCCCCTTAAATCCTCAAGTGCAGGAGATCCCATACCCCTGCTAGGTAGCCTTAAGAAGCTCCAGGGCTTCACTGCCCTCATCTTTATCTGTTCACCCAAGGGACTATGAGGATCTGTGACTGAGGGGGGCATGGGAGCAGCTTTCAAAAATATTTGAAAGGCTGTCATACAGAAACACTGTTCTTCCTGTTACAGAAGGCAGGGCATGAGGCAATGGGTTTAACCTGCAGCAAAGCAGATGTAAGAACAAGACAGTGGAACAAGCTGCCCTGGGAAGCTATAGTGTCCCTCTTCAGGGGGATTTTAAGAGAAGGCTGGAGAAGGGGCTTCTGTCTGGGGTAGTTTAGGAGCAGAGAAACTTGCATCAATGCAGGGGCTGGACTAGATGATCCAAGGTCCCTTCTAACCTGAGGATTTTCTATTTGCCTCCTCATGGAAGTGCCTTACCAGCACCC